AATGACAACAAAGGCCTGTGCCTGAAATGCTACTACATAAAGCGAGGCAGCTTTGGCTCCCTCAAAACCGGTGAGCTGGTGGACTTGATCAAAAGCACTCCAGCTTTGAAGGACAAGCGTTCAGGCTTCAATAGAAACCCTTTGATCCGCCTGTCTGTCGTCACAGTCGCAGTCCGGTTATTGATTATTTGATGGTTCAGTTCAGATTGGTTGTTTGACGGCTAGGCTAGACTGGACTGGACTAGACAGACTAGTATAGACTGGACCGGACTGGACTAGACTGATGATGATGATTATTATGTGATGTTGATGTTGGTGATCTGTAAATTATAGCTAGAGTCCAGTTATAAAGACTACCTTGGAATCATCGGAATCATACATTAAGATGCATGATTTGAACGATCATGCTCTTCCAATCTCCTCCAATTTTGATGCCGTGATTCAACTAGATACCTGGTTCCTTGTTGTCTAGCTGCGCTAGCAGCCACTCAGGTTTTCTTCGCTGAGGGCAAAGCACGTGTCCGTCACGTGCTTAAACCCTAAAGCACGACCCAGACATGAATGCATCAATGTGAAGCTCTACACGGAGCAGCGGGAATCTGACTACTGTGACTTCTTTCAGGACTCGGGTGTCCTGCACAGTTGCACAGGTGGTTTAGCTCGAATTGAGGGGAGAGCTTCTTACGTTTCTGGTTGAAATCAGGAAACAAAACCCTGGCCCTGTGAGGAAGGCGAGTGGCTGAGCGTGGCAAAGTATTGGGAGTTACATGCGCCACAGGAGCTGAAGCAGAAGAAGCGTACTCTAGCACAAAAGAAATCGTGGATTACAAAAGATTCTCAGACTCAGACTCAGTACTACTACTGACTACTACTACTACTACGACGACGACTACTACTACTACTACTACTAGGACTACTTCTTCTTAGTCTTGAGTCTTTGTTGTTTGTTTTTGTTTTTTGACTTCCGCACGTAACATCCCCCTGGTGAAGGCGGCCAGGCGTACCCTACAGCGCAAGCAGATTTTGGAATCTATATAATATAAATTAAAGATAACAAAAACAAAACAAATTAATTTATATATATAGTTAGTCATTGTCGTTGTTATTTGTGAACCAAAGAATTTGGCATCTACAACGTAGGGCCTAGGGGGGTCTGTATTGGGTTGGGTAGATTTTTCCAAATCTGATGCACTCTCTTTCCCATTGCCAGTCTTGACTCACTCAGGAAGTTGGCTTGACCTTGCAGCCTGACCTGGGCTTAAATGACGTTTCCGAAGTGTTAGAACATGTCTCCTTTGTTGAGGGGGAATGTTAATTTCACTTCCTTCTGTAATCTACTTTACTTTTCCTATCTTTTCCTTATGCGTCCCCATCAGGATGAAACTGGCGAAGAGGGAGTGGTCATCTTCCCAGAGGGCGGACGCAAGAAGGTGCGCATGGGCAACAAAGTGTCTGCAGACAAGATTCGGCAGGCAGAGCATGAATCTGGCGGCCAAATGAGAGATCAGCACGAGACCAACATGGCAAAAGTCAAGATTGAGACCAACGATGAGGCAGGCAACTTCTGGCAACTCTGAGGTTTGAATACTCCGCCTGTTGGCACTATGATAGTGTATGGTGTGCGCAGTATGTGAGAGTATGTAGCGTACCACGCGGTACATGCGCTTTCATGAGGTGAACTGGTGATGGTGACGTGGACGTAGTGACGTAGCATACACACGTCAGTTATGTGAAGTCAACAGATAATATGACAATGACGATATGACAAACAATTAATATATACAACGCGAGGTCTAGGCAAAAGGATCGGAAAGGCGCGATTACCAGGGATCTGGAATGAACAATTAACCAGGAAAGAGCATGGAAATTGACTCGATTCATGCACGGGTATCGGTATGGGTGAAGCAAACATATTGCTGTGAGTTTGTGAGTAAAAACATTCCTTACGAATCGGCGCCCACTGTGGCACCATAGGGTCCATGGATTCACTGCCAGCCTGCAGTACCTAGCCTAGCCTAGTGCAAAGACTACTTGAAATTTAAGGGTACCAGAAACATGCCACCAGATTTCAACCACGTGCAACCCTAACCCTGACTAAGACTAAGACTTAGACTACGACTCTCTGACGGCGCTTTGCAAGCAGTTTTGGGCCAACAAAAGCTATGGCTCCCAGTTGCTTCGTCACAGGATACCAGCTTTTGTACTTGTGCGGCGGTTATGCGATCTGGAATGAGGATGAGGACAGGATATGATAGGATGAGGATTTTTAGGAGGTAGGAAGTTAGGAGCTTAGACAGGAGGATAAGGAGGACGAGGACTGGCAGATTGCCTTTGGTGGACAGTAGAGCTCTAAGTAGCGCCTTCCGTTGAATGCGGCCAATTAGGAGGGCTTAGGAGTTAGGATCGGGGGCACGCTTGCCTGCCGCTAGGAGGGTTATAGGAGGATGAGGATTGGCAGCTTGCCATTGGTAGATGGTAGTAGTCTACTAGTACCTGTGCGGTAGAGCTCTAAGTAGCATGCCGTCTTTTTGCTTGCCCGCAATTCCGCGAACGCCTCCGCTGAAAGCCTTGGGTTCCTTGATCGCCACTTGCCCACGTTGTTCCCATCCCTGGTAAACAAATGATTGCTTGGCTAAAGGCTACCTTCTAATTTCCCAAGTGTTCTAGTTGTGGGGCTTCCTGTTTCGTGTGGCTTTATGGTCTGAAAGCAACATTTTGTGGGCCTCCAAGATTTCAGGGGTGATACGAGATTCTACAACTGTACAAAAGTAGAGTCAGTAGAGGGCCGAATGGGAGAGACTCTTTTGGGGGAGGGCTATTGCTGACAATGGACGGTACACTGTAGACTAACTATGGTATAGTGTTCAGTACAGTAACAGCATATTTATATATTTAAATTTTATAATTAATCGTCTTTGAACTAGACTTATGTAATAACGGTCATGTAACATACATACATACATACATACATACATACGTTAGTTACATACTGTTACATACTTACATACTGATTAACAAAAGTGTTTCTGCCTCTGGCATTGCGCAGGAGGAAGCTGTCGAGAAATTGGCCAAGGCGAAGGATGGCGAGGTCAGTGAAGAGGAAGCGGCGCAGATCGAGCGCCCAGATGAGGAGCACTCATCAGATAGTGATGCCGGCGTCGGAGTGAAGCGGGTTGCTGAACCAGAGCCGAAGAGGCGTCGACGGGCCAAAGGCTCTGAGAAGCCTGAGAAGCCTGGAGTTCCTCAGGAAGCGCAGCCCAAATCAGCAGCGTCAGGTGCAAAGCGCAAGGCGTCTCAGAAGGCGGATGAATTGTCAAATGGCTTGAAGGGAGCCGAGGCCTGCATTTCTGCTTTGGATACTTTCCATCCTATGAATTTCTGGCAAGGGAGTCTCAAGCACAAGGACATTGACAAGCGCTTGGCATTGGCGTACCAAACGCAAAGTTCTTTGGAAGAATTTGTGGAGACGAACGCTGATGCCCAAAAGCTTTGTGAGTCATTGACGGTCAAATCCCAGCAAGTCACAGATTGGCTTGACGCCCTCATCCCTTTGTGGAATCAAGACATGAGGCTGACGCATGCCAGGAACATGGACAAGGAGGACATGACCAAGCTGATCAAAGTGGTTCCAAACGACTGCATGCATGCTATGCTGGTAGATGTTGGACGGCACTTCTGGGAGGACTGGCCACTGATTGTTCACGGCACCTCACTGATTCACTGTTAGAATTTTTAGTAGTAGTCGTAGGTGTAAGTCTTAGTAAACCACACTTAAACTGACTGACTGCCTTGTAAAGGAGAGACTGAATCCCCTGAGTAATTGACATGTAGTGCCCACCTCCATGTGTCTTTTGGTTTTGCTTGCAAGGACAAAGTGGCAACTTTGCCTTGTGACGCTACCACCACCTTGCTGCAATACGTGGCCCTAAGCCAGGGCGCCAACCAGAGTGACGACGCACCCGTTGGCTTGAACCTTCAGGCCCTCATGTCACACGGGCGCTCTTTGGGTGTTGCAGGCCTTCTACAGGTTCAGGCAGCGCTGTTGAACTTTTGGTTCGATTCCGTCCAGAAGATCCCCGACATTGACAGCATGTTGCAGGGCATCCCGGACACACTCTGGATTCCTGACATTATGAGGACAGGCATCAAGTGCTTTCCTTCAGAGGGTTAAACCCAATTTGGTACCATGTTGTTGCTTCATTTGTGCCAACAAACACACATCTCCACATGAGTTGAAGGCGGATGCCTGTCGGTGTAAGGCCCCAAGGCGCTGTAAAGAAGCTATAGGCTATAGCATAGCTATAGCACTCTGTAATAATTCTAGTCCTCATCGTGATTGATTGTATGTCACCAGTGATGTGTAGGATTTGCACGATCATGGATTCGCATTAGTGACGATCATGTTCCTGAGGAATTCACACATAATGTAATGTAATGTCGTAATGCAGGGACACTGCAAATGCAGGAGGTATTCCGAGCCTGTGCAGAAGTTGACGCTTCAGATTCAGGGGGGAGCAGAATGAGGTCAATTCCAGCGGTGTTGCAACCAAGTTCTTAGTAGACCTCCAGCGCTTTGTGGCTTGCCGGAAGGTGATGCAGCAGGAACATATGGTTGAGGCCTCGCTTGGCGCCACTTTCAAGGTCCTGGTGGCCCACAGCAAGATCTTCTCTGGACGCACCAACCTTCTCTTCCGGTCCAATGTTCGGCTCAGGACGGATGATTCATCGATCCAGTCATCATGCATTCATTCGTTCGTGCGTTCATTCGTTCATTCAGAACTTTGAGTTTATCTACTACATTTTAATGCCGCCTATTGAGCTTCGGGTTCTTGAGAACCCTGCACTCTCTAGTTACATACAATTCCCTATGGATTCACTCCGTCGGCAGGCCCATTTTGCACTTGTGTCAGGAAAGTATGTTTTACAGGTTTTGGCTTGGGCGTTAGGCTTCCAAGATTCCCAGATTTCAATCAAACCTTTGACCGCTCGCACCCTGTGAGGGATTTGTGGGGTTCAGTGCTCGATGTCTCCAAGCATCAAGTTGACCTGCAAACAGCCGTACCGCTTGCTGGCAAGTTCAAGGATGCCTTGGGCAAGTTCATCTCCTTCTTGCAGAAGCACTTGCAGGGGCAGGGTCTTGACATTGCCAAAGGCCAAAGCTTGATGGAGAAGTGCAAGTCAGGCCAGTCTGTTTTGCTCGCTTTGGGAAGCTCTAGCGAACTGGATCATGTGAACCTCAAGACAGAGCTTGAAGGCTTGATTGCTGAACTCCGGACATTCGTGAAGGAGAACAATTGGTGCTCGGACGAAGCCGCAAACATCTTTGGGGGTCTGTTCAAGGAAGGTATACGCTTGTCTTTGTCTGATGACAAGGTGGAGTTGTTGAAGCGCGACATCCTTGGAGGCCGGATTGGTCAGTCTTCCTCCGTGCATGTGTCACTTTTTGTGAGACTGACATTGACAGTTTGCTAAGCAAGAGATGAGAGATGATGAGATGTTTGATTTATTGGAGGCCTTGTAGCTTGTTGACTACATGCCACATGACATGTTTGTTGGAACCTATCCTGCAGGACAAATCAAGGCCACGCTGCTTGGAGATGAAAGGGCAGCCGCCACATTTGCGATGGCCCACTTGCTTGAGCTGCTGCTTGGGTGGTCAAATGAGGATGAAGTCCCAAGCCTTGACAAGATCAGTTCGTTCTATGTGGACTTTCAGCGCCAGATTTCTTCTGAGACCGTGCAGTCTTTGAAGCCAGGTTGGCTCCCTCATGCTGCAGCCGCCTTGTCATGCTTTGAAGGCCATTTCAGCAAGACTGGAGAGGCTTGGAGCAAGAGTACCTGGAAGTCATCCGGTCCTGATGAGATCGCAACCATGCTTGAGAGCTGCAAGCATTTGCCGAGCAACCTCCAGTCCGTGCTTCAGCTGGCCAAGTCTGCTTCCATCTTTGACAAGTTGGAGCCGTTTGCACAGAAGGAGTTTGAGGACTTTGACAAGGAGCTTGCTCCTTTCCTGAAGGTTGTGAAGAAGTGGATCACACTTTGTTCCTTTGACAAGGATTGCCTGCAAGAGTATCTCTTGGAGGAAACCCTCCAGCGAGCTGATGATTTTGTCGATTCGGTTGAGGGTGCTTTGACCACTTTCTTCAAGCAAACGGAAGCCGAGTACAAGGTCGTTCTCCCGCTGGTTGAGAAGTACAAGTAGCTGGTCTGTCCAAGACTAAATCAAGAGTAAAGGAGGTCAGTCGGTCATCTAACGCAAGCCACTTCTAATGCAAGCCACTGATTCCCAAACCGATCGTGTTTGCAAGCCACATTGATGGGGTCAGGGTGGTAGACATTAAGGATCGACAAGTAGATTATCGACTGGACCACACATGTGTGACTATCATATCATATCATTATCGTATCATCATAGACTAGTGAACTTTATCAATC